TCATCCAAAACGTTATGGAACACATTAATTAACTGAAAAATGTTGCATAGTATGCCTTTAAGTTTAGCTGTTTATTCAAAAGGAAAGAAAAAAGCTAGTATCTGTCAGCTGATGTATCTCTAGATTAGTTTCTAATGTTCATTAATGACAGTAATATGATAAAAATGTTCTATAGTTCTAGCTTTTGGCTTTTAAACTTCCTCTCTGTTTTTTCCAGCAGATGCTGACAGGCTGTGGGATGGAGGGTTTCTCTGAGGTGTCATTAACCTTCATCCATCTGATGAAATCCCTTTGAATCTGAAAAATGTGGCGTTATTTCACCGCTGATCTCCTCTGAAGGAGGGCAGCGTTACCTCATCACCCTGACCAGAGGTGACGGCAAAAGAAAAAAAGCTCTGTTTAGCCTAACATGGAGGGACGGCTTCATTAGACGGACTGAAATCAGAGTTGCAATAAAAAAACACCTAAGTGCTCAAACTATGTATTTTGTTTTGGAACCTTTATCACCACGGATGTAACATCGCATTGGACTCACTGCGGTCATGCCAAGAACTTCAATTTAACTTAATTTTTTTTTTCTATGCATGTTTTGTTTATGATCTTTTCTGTTTCCAAATCTTTTTCATTTATTGCCTTTTTCGAACCTTAAAGAGCCCCTCATAGAGGACATGGACTGTTTTTTTTTCTTTCTTTAAGTTAACACTAGAAAGGAACAAACCATGTGATAGAATTTGGTGTAAATAAACTCAAAGACAAATTTAAGATGAGCTTGTAGAGGAATTGTTCCCCTTTTTTTCTTTTTTTTTGTGTGGCAATAAGAATAATTGTCTTGATGCTGAAAAGAGCCCAACAGATTTTGCTTTCACAAGTGGGGCAGTACGGCTATCGGCATAGTGTTCCGCTTGATTTATGCATATAAATAGCTTTATTATAATTCATGCAGGGAGTATTACAGATTATATGGACACTGCAATGTAAGTAGAACAGGAAAGGGAAAAAAAGGAGAAAAGATGAAAGAAAGAGGAGATAAAATGATAAAACATCTTCTGTCTGCTTCATCACCTGGAAAGAGATGTAAAATGAACAGCTCAACCAATGGATACAGTATAAGAGATACAATAAAGTAGCACCTTGATACTATCGCTGAAGTATTAGTAGTATTATTTAATCTGACATGTCATCATCACATGGCTTTCTGTATGGAAATGCTTCCAATTTGCTGCAAAGGATGAGCAGCCATGCAGCATCAATGAGGAACATATAAATATGTTAGCAGGAAGCTGAAGCAACCATCAATGCTGCTTTAGACATCTTGGCATTTCACAAATTTAATTATTTGCTTCCCTATAAAAAATAGAACCACGGTTTAATCAAATAATCTATGCATGGGTTTGGTCAAAAGCTTTTCAAATAAAACTATTAATGTTTTCATCTAATGGTTAGTTCAGCCTTTCATTAATTCATAACCTTATTTTGTGTTCAACTATTTTAAACCAAATTGACATCCAGTTTTTTTTTTTTTTTTTTGTAAAATAACTCATTAAACGTGTCTTTCTAATTAGTGTCTTTGTTTTTCCATCAATTAAGCCTCATTAATATGAATTG